CCACCACCTTTTCAGCCGGGGATTTTAATTTTTGCTAAATGTTTCAAATGAAAAATCTTTAATGCATGGCAGCTGTTAACGATCGAAATTATTTCGTCTATGCATATAAATATGTACATATAAGTATGTATGTACATACTATGTATGTCACCGACATTTTTTGCTTGCAAGACTTCAATAAAAATACAAAAAGTTGCATACATAAATATATACATACAAGCATACCCGCACATGTATGTATGTATGTGTTTCTTTATTTGTCTAGAAATAGCAAAATAAAATCGTGCGATAAAGCATTTCTGCGAATTATTTAAAATACCTACACCACATTCCATAGGATTTTATTTGTTTGTCTTCTTACATACATACATATGTATACATACATATACTATGTATGTATGCATTATTTATTCATTTTTTGTCGGCCATTTTGGTTTTGTTGCTCTGTGTGCTCTTTGTGCGGGACATATATACATATGCACATACATATGTATGTAATTATAAGCACTTTTGGCCTCATAATTATTTGAAGTGAAGAATAAAAATAGAAGATTAGATATTTCAAAGCAAATTTGAATAACAAAGACTTTGTGTTAAATTTTTCTTATATTTGTATGTATATGTACATACCTACCGTAGTGTTATGACTTGTTTGACTTTTTTTGAATTTGTAAAAGCCGGTGCTGCCATGTGGTGCTCCTTCGCATATAAAAAATTATGGAAAAGCACACTGAAATTTTACACACTTAAAAAAAACCTCCCGCGCACAAGGACATATGTATGTATGTATATAGTGAAACAGTATATCTACATATTTTCATCGATTTTTACTATATCTTTGCCACATATGTCTTAATATTTTATGTATACAGATTAAAAGAAAACTAAATGACAAAAGGAAACAAGATACATTTGAAAAAAATAAAATAAAATAAGTTTATAAAAATTAAATTAAATTAAAAAAATATATTTTCCTTTTCAAAACTAAAAAAGATCTAAATGTAAACGGAAAATTTAACTAAAAGCTGTTATTAGTTATGTAAAAAAAATGTAGTTTTAAAAAAGAAAAGATAAAATAAGCTTATAAAAATTAATTGAAAAAAAATATTCGTAATTTTAAAAGAATAACATAAGAATTAATAGAAAATTACATTAAGAAAAAAATATAACTAAATTAAAAAATAAAAAATATAAGCTTCTAAAAATTTAATTAAATTACGAAAAGTATACTTTTCTTTTTTTAAAACAATAAAATATAATATTAAATTGAATATTAAGTTAGATCTCTCGAATGACACGTCTGTGATATACATACATACAAGTGATTTCTTTCAAGATAGGTTACCAGCACGAATGGTGAATGGGAGAGCTTTTTTTACAAAGGCTTTTGTGCTAGAATATCAAAAGTCTTTCGACATACTTTGCCATCTGTCTTTCATTTGTCTTACGAAAGACTTTATGGAAAGTTTTGTGACACTATTTTCCATACTTCTATTCCTGACCTGGAATTCACACAAAGTCGGTTTCATTTGAGTGAAAAAAAGAGAAATGGCATTATGCGCGGTACCTTTTTTATGTCTGAACTATTTCGGTGTTTTAGACCATGGGTCGTCGAATGCCAATAAAGTCTTTTGAATATAAAAAAGTCAGAGCCCTAATATAAACCATAGAGCAAAACTGAGTACATGGTGGTTTTTTGTTATATATTTGCAAGCTTTTTAAAGTTAAA